AAAACGCTTACTAATTACTTGAGATGCTTTTGTGACACGAAATTAAATAATTGGGATGAGTGGTTACCTTTCGCATGTTTCACATACAACACAACGCCACACTCAGTGACGAAGTTTACCCCATATGAAGTCTTATTTGGGAGAATTGCCAATATTCCAGGTAAATTGCAACGAAAGACAGAACCACTTTATAATATTGAAGATATCGTGGTGGATATTAAACAGAAAATGCAAAGTTGTCAACAAATGGCTAGAGAGAAACTGATAAAGTTTAAAGAATCACAAAGAGAAAAAGTGAGCTTTAGTAGCCATGAATTTCAGGTGAATGATTTAGTTCTCGTAAGGGTAGAGAATAGGCAAAAATTGGACCCGTTGTGGAGAGGTCCCTTTGAGATAAAAAAGATACAAGGTTCTAATGCAGTCATTCAAGAGGCAGGCAAAAGAAAGCACCAAGAAGTGCACATTAACAGGTTAAAACCTTATTTCTCTTCAATTGCAGGTAAAAGAAATGGAACTGTTTAAGTGGACAATCGCAATCACACTCTGCATGTTTTGGAAACTGCTATATGCCCAGACCGTCGAAGAAATACAGTCGAAATCAGGAATATACTTCGATGAAGTAGGGACCATGCTATTTTACCCCATGAAGTGGAAAGTAGTCACGTATATTAATTTAGAACCAACTGGCGAATTGTGGAAACAACAAAAAGTCATCAAAGAAAAGCTAGCGAATTTTGTCAAAAAATCAGGGATAAAAATTGGTATCGCTACACAGATTGCGCAGCTTTTGACCACTATATGAGATTGAAAACTAAATATATTGATAACTTGAAAGACTTAATTGCCGAATATTTATCAGATAGCACACAGAATTCAAACCATCACGCAAAGCGAGGAATACTAAATTTCGTGGGAGAAATATCGAAAATTTTGTTTGGGACTTTGACTCAGTCAGATGCTAGGAGCTATAACCAGCAGACTACAGAGTTGGAAAAAGAACAAAAAGAATTTTTGCACTTATCAAGAGAACAGATGACCATTATAAAAACAACAATTACTTCAGTAAACACAACGTTGCAAAAAGTAAATCAAAATGAAAGGGTATTGAAAGAAGGTTTAAGTAAATTATCAAACTTCAGTGCACAGAAATTTAGCGATTTGGAAGAAGAGATTAGGAACGTAAACTTAATCAATGAGCAGTTTTGCCTGGTACAGAGAGGGATAGACGAAAGTCAACATTCGTTCGAGATATTAATAGACGCATTTGTCCATGCAGAACAGGGAACACTTCAACCACAGTTAATCACCACAGAAAAGATAAAACAGTTAATAGGAAATCAAAAGCTGCCAAGCGGACTGGACTATCCAAACTTTCCTTTTCCACAACTTCAAAAAATCATCACCCCAATCACCTACTCTTACAAACAATATCTAGTCTATGTACTAGAAATTCCCTTGTTTTCCCCAACAACCTACCAATTGTATAAATTGCTACCTTTCCCAACAAACATAAAAGAAGAAAAATCTACCTATACTTATATCCACTATAATAAAGAGTTTATATTTAGTGATCCATTGAGGCAACACTTTGGTAAAATGACAGCAAATGAATTAACAGGATGTTTCCACCCCAGTGAATTAATTTATGTCTGTAGAGAGGAGATACCTATTTATACTTATGTTCCTGAGATGGATTGCGAAGCTACTTTGCTCCACCCATCGACTACAAGAATTCCAAACAATTGTGAGTAAAGAGTTCTTAAATTAAGCAAGACCTTTTTGATACCACTACATATGAGTAACCCATGGTTGTTTGTTACTCCCCAGTCAGAAACTTTCACGGTTTTGTGTCCACAAGGTACTACCACCTTCAAATTGGAAAAGGGAGGTAAATTAACTCTTAAACCTGGATGTAAAGGATATTCATCCTACATAACATTGTATTCTATTTCTACGTTAAGTACAAATTCAACAAATGACTATGTACCAACAGCACCTGTAGATTTTGACTGTTGTTTCGAGAACTTGGAAGATGTAAAATTCAAAGAACTACCTTTACAAGTACCGTTGGTAAACATCATGTCATCTGTAGATGATTTAAGAATTGCAAGCATGAAGGTGAATGAAGTGCAAAATCTAATTAAAGAACAAGAATTAAAACATAATCAAAGATTTTATAAGATTACATCTTGGGGAACAACTTTTGGACTGATTAGTTTAATTTTCATAGGTATTTGCTGTAGTTGCTGCTGTTGCAAATGTTGTAGAGATTGCTTCTTTTGGTTATGGAGCAGATTGAGTCTAAGAGACTGTTGGAAGCAGACAGAAGACAAATGTTGTGTCAGCATTTACAATTATAATGGATCAAGAGTACAGTATGCCAAAACTAACACTTCACCAGCCATTTCAATGAAATCATTGCCCGAGATCGGAAATACTATAACTGAACCGCCAAAGAGATTGGCAGATGAAACTTTAAAGATGGATGAAGAATTAGACTGTATTTCAAAGAGAACACGAAGCAAGAGAATGTTTCGTTAAACAAAAATTTTCACCATGAGGTAAAAACTTTTTAGAGGAAGGGAGGTGTAATGAAGGAGCATAAAGAAGGTATATGATGGAGTACAAAGGTGTACTGAGTGTAATCAAGTGTATGTAACGAATATACTATAATCAATTATTGATATATGTCATGAATGGAATATTGTAAATGTAATCAAATGAAAAGCATGACTAAGTAGCAAAACTAGAGGGTTACTGAATGGATACAGTAACACCTGTCATTAATTACCACTATAATTACTATAATTAAAAGAACCCCTCTAAGGTTCAATCGAACGTAACATTTGGTATTATGGAATAAATATAAGAATAATGTATGAAACCAGTCTAGACATGTTACTAATAAAAGCTGTTATCTTAGTCACCCGCATGGGACAGATGACATTATGACCCTGATGTCGATGCGAGGGAGTAAACAGTCGCCCTAACCAATTAATCTGATAAAGGCGACCACATCAAAGTCTGAAAGTTAAGAATTGTAACATGTCGTGATAAGTGTGTGTTATAGGTCTAAACTGGGAAGAGGAGCTGACTCACGTTCACGAGCACAGATGTTTTGTCATACTGGTAGACGCTATGAGTGGACTTTGTTCAAGCCAACGCCCAGATTGGTCCTATAAATACAGGAGTATTGTAGCTCCAAGTATCATATCTATTGATCATTCTTCAGACGGCGAAGCTCTGCCGGTTTTCGGTCCGAGCCTTTATTCTGTAAACTTTCCTATATTCTATTGGAAGTTGGTGTTGTATTGCAATTGTAATTACTTAACATCAGTGTATCTTCATATCATCATATTAAATAACATTCTTATATTCTGCAACCAAAAGACTTAGATCTTTTGCGTACCTACAAAAGGTATCCTAAAATTCTACGAGAGCTTTCTCTCTGGTGACTTCACCACCTCATCACCGGCAGCAACGACATCAGCGAGAAAAGCCCACTCGAATATTTCATTACTTCATTACACACTGCCTGTGGGTGCTTGTCATCCAGTAGGCAGACTGGTTTGAAACTCTTGAAACTTTTCCAGGGAATCAGCATGGTAAGGACCAAATGAATCACAAGAATAGAGTGTTTCCTCGTCGCCCAAGTAATATGGCATATCAATTTAAGACATACTATCAAGAGGTTAAGGAGGACCTATTATGTGAGCAAAGTGTAAATTATATCCCAACTATTGTTAATGGACATTTAAACTTTAATAATCTGCCTCTTGCAAGTGACAATATCACTATTAAGGAGAATCATGCTAGAACACTAGTGATAGAATCGGAAGTGAAAATGAGTGAAAATAAAACCAAAGACACAAGGGGTCTCAAGCATAAAATATTAACTATTGGGGAAAGCCATGTGAGAGGGTGTGCTGTGAGGATGTTTACTTCTATGGATGACCGCTTTGAAGTTTGTGGTATAGTTATGCCAGGTTCTTGCACAAACGCTTTAAGTGGAACAATGAGTGATGAAGTGGACAAGTCAGCTAAAAATGATTTTTTAATAATAAGTAGTGGATCTAATGACGTTAGTAAGAGTGATACAAGAATAGCATTCAGTAATATTGTTAATTTTATTAAGAATATTAGACACACCAATGTAATTCTAACAGGTGTTCCTCTTAGATATGACACTCCTGGTTGCTCACAGTTAAATGATGCAATCAATCTCTTTAACAATAAGTTGAGTAAGTTGACCAAAATCTTTAGTCATGTATTTATGAGTGAACCGATCAACAATAGATTGTTATACACCAAATACGGCTCACATTTAAATACACTAGGCAAGGAAATATTTTCTAATCAGTTAGTCTCCCAGATATTTTTATTGTTGGAAAGAGTTAAGGTTACGCCTATAATCCTGGAATGGTACGATAAGGTAACTCAGTTGGTCGTTCCATCAATTGACAAGTCCTCTTCGACACTGACTTCAACTCAGCGCAATGTTAAACGCAATAGGAAATTACCAGTAACTAGAAATAATGATTTTTTATGGAACATTGAAATGCCTACTCAGATTCTTTAGATAGTAGGACTAAAATATGCCTTAAGAATAATAATTCAATGAGTATTTTCCATCAAAATATCCGTGGTTTAAAGGAGAAAACTAATGAAATTATAAGTGCACTGTATCCTCGATCCCCACATTTGCTATGTCTATCTGAATATCACCTTGACTATACGAACTTATGTCATACCTATATTGAACATTATAATCTGGGTGCCGAGTATTGTAGGAAATCTATCAGGCAAGGAGGTGTATGCATTTTTGTACGTGACTCAATTAACTATCTAAATGTGAATTAAAATGCTTTTTGTAGAGATCAGGATCTAGAGATATGTGCAGTCAAACTTCTAATTCCATCTGTTAATATTTATGTTTTAGCCA